ATAACGCTAAAGACAAGAGAGTCTTACGAAGGCCGTGACTTAAAGAAAATCGTAAAACGCAGATATTTACCGGAACATGGAGCGTACAAATAATTCAGAATGTTTCGAAAGTTTCCGCCGTTGCTTTCGGAAAAAGCATGGAGGAAGTAGCAGACGAAAGTTCCGGTCGATATAAAGGAAACGGAAGGAAAACATGAGATCGACCGATACGTCCCGGTATCTTGGTACACATATCGTATCGATTAACTCGCCTAGGACTTGCCTGTTCGAGAGACAGTGCAAGTTGCAAGTTGTCATCGATCGTGCTTGATGACGCTCGAAATCTAGCTCGATTAATTGAACGGGAGGGACGAGGAGTGAAACGCTTGAAAATATTGCCTTACGCTCCCTTCCGCCACCAGAGGCCAATATCGCCGGATCAATTAGCTCTGGCCTTCTTCCGGTTAACCAGGCCGCAAATCGTTGCAACGTTGAGGAGGACTCCGGCACGTACACCGATACCCTGCGGAATTTCATCGATGTTAGTTGACAATCGTCGTCAACGGGCGACGATCACCCCGGCTAATTAAATCTCGTTTGACGCGGAGAGGATTGCTCGCGTATTAATGAATGCTCTCGCAGCAATTATCCACGCCGTACTCGTGACAGGCAGTACTCGGCAAAACGAATTTAATAGGCGGTGAGAAATTAGAGCTACGCATCATCGACGAATTGATTTCAAGACCTCGTTCAAGAAAGAAAGATTTCGTTCGTGAATCGCGACTCGTGTTACAAAATCTTTAGATCAGTCGCAGGCTGGTAATTTTCGCAATTAGCTGAGAACGGAGCTTGGGCAAGTCCAGAGATGTCGATATTTTACGAAAATATTTAAATTCCAATTCTAGATGTAAAGTAATAAACGTGATGCGTCGGAATTTGTGGGTGATAAATGGGAATTCGTAACGACGTTTTATCGCAGTATTGTGAAGTATCAAGGACCATAATCATAGTACCTTTTCTCGTGGTGACCTGTTTCCAGCGGCAAATGACACACTCCGTATCCTCTGATGACATCGTGGCCGAAGGTGTCCAACCCGTAAACAGATATTATTAACTGAGGCCCTAGGATATCATTTGACGCGATAAATCGACGATTATTAGCGAATCTTTCAACAATACTTGTTCCGATTCACAAGCGTGTCTTCGCGCGTGTCTCACGTTCTTTTCAATTAGATTCGGCCGAAAGAAAGAATTGGGAAATTCTTTGTTGTGACTTATGATTTGGACGTGTCGCGTGCGAAGTCGCTTGAATTTCTTGAAACACTAAAGTCGAGCACCGTGATTGATTTCACTTACATCCGTGCGGGTTGGTACTCTTGAACGTGACTTCCAGCGGGAAGTTCCAGACTGCCAGATTTCGAGGATCGTTGCTGCACTTGCACATCTGCGTCAGACCTTCCTCGATACCCTGCAATGCAATTGCGCGAGTTAGATGTTAGAGGCGATCGATGTTAGGCGAGACTCCTGCTTTCCAGCTCTCGTCCGATTCAACGATCGTTCAGGTGGCCAAACAAAATAACTCACGGCGATTACGCTCCATTCCGGTCCGAAGTGGAACCCGTATTTGCAGTACGCGTTGTTGACATCGTAAAACTCCCCGTGCTCGATCGATCCTGCGATCGAGAGGAAAAACTCACCCTCCACCGACATGGGGCCGAGATCGGTAACCTGAAGAAACTTGGATTTATCGAGCCGCGATAATTTAGAGAAAGAGAACTAACTAATTGACGTTCGCTTGCTTGCGAGATTGAAATCACTTCGAGAAGCTGTTTCGAGTACGATTTATTCGGAGGTTTAGGGTGTCTCCCTTTCGAACAGAACGGAAAAATGACTGATGCTAGGTTTATTTGCAGGCTTTGTGTACGGTTAAGCGAATCGGTCGCCGTGGTAACGAAGCATGCGCCTCGATTTCCCATGGCATGTGGCTCGTTTTAACGGTCAACTAAATATAGGAGGAATTTTCTTTGTTAGTATATCCGGAAGACGCCAGTTATGTTGCCTAATATCTGTAACAGCTTGCGTTACTCCGCTAAGCATAGCTTCGACGCGATAGGAAATGTTTGGAATAACTGCCAGCATACCGTAATTCACGAAGAAATGGAACGATGCAAGGTAATTCATAAGCCTGTTTAATTAGACGAATGAAATTTAATATCGGCAGGATCTATGGAAGGCAAACAGAAACATCGAAACTTCGTAATTAACGTTTGAAATGAAATTCGTGCGAAAATTCTGGAACTGATAATGTGAAAATTTCAGAGAATGACGAGAAGTGAATTGACCCGTTTCAATTGAAACGATTTTTTTCTGAATTAAAGTTCACTACGAGTCAAGATTGTTTTTATGAATTAAATCGGTCAAATGTTCGGATGCGTTGGTCCGGTGGTAACCAATAATCTTTTAATCTTTTTCTATTCACGTATTTCAAAATGATATTTCAATATTTCAAGATAACCGTTAACGCTCGGCATATAAATTTAAAAATTAGAAATAAAAATTACACGGTATAGTTTTTTTTATAATTACAAGTACGTACGGTTGCAGACGTGTATGAGCTTGCCATGATCACGGCGCATGCTTGAATCTTGCATCTGACGATCATCGATCGATCGTCAACGAAACACCAGTGATGTAATAAATACACGGTAGATCTTTGATTTCTTATCGACGAATTTCCTTCCTGACTTCGACATGGACCTTCTTCGGTGTACTTTCGTGCTGTCTGGGAAAAGGTAAGTGACTCTATGCGTACGCAACGCTTTAATTTATGTTAAATTTGGAAAATTCAATGCTTCTGATCATCGCTTCGAGGTTAGACGAGGTCATTAAACGACAGGAGCACGTTGACTCGTGATAATGTATAGATCATTTCCTATGCTTACCTTCTACTAGGATTATCCGCAAATTTTACTCAATATTTTAGAATATCGATCATGTTCGAATTATTTGATCCGCGATATAAATTATCATTTGTCCTCGTATTCAGATTTATTTATTTGCTGCCTGCTGCTGTCCCCCTTTTGCAAAAATTAAATTAAAAATCAAACGGACAGTGTTGTTGCAAAGTATTTTTGTTTCTTAACTAACGTAATATTAATTTAAGATATTCATTCTTCTTTGATTGCAACAAAGATTCTGTAAATCTTCCGGGCAGGATCTACGTGTGTAGGTAGTTTTCGTCTTTAACAACAGATGGTATGAGTACTTGATTATCGTTTTGTCGCAAATGGCACCACGAGTTGGTTATAAACATCCTGAGTATTACGTTTAGTTGATGAGAGGCTACGAAGCTGCAAACGGGAGAAAATCTACTTTTGCTTCTGATCGTTAATCTCTCTATCGTATAGGTCTAACGACAATGAATGAAACGACAATGTATCGCTGTCCAATATCATGCTTTATTTCTTTGCTCGAGCAACAACAGCGAATCTTACATCTGATCGAGCCAGTCGTATCTAGAAAACGGTGTCCTACATTGCGAACAATAATGTAGTATGTACAGAAGATTCCATCGAGACAGAAGAAGAAGAAGAAGAAACCTCTCACTCGACCAGGGGCGTGCAATCTCGGCGTGCCATCGCCCGGCTGTACACGATTTAAAAATGGACGCGCTGGCACGCGCGAGTTGCCACCTTGTCGACGCGTGGAAATTTCCTCTCGCACTTTGTACGTGATTTTCATCGCGACACTGGACGATTCGAGCGATGCTTAAAGAGCGCTTCGATCCGACATTACACGGCTCGATTCGCTCCCTCTATCGTTTGACTGACGTGTACTAGAAATCTGGCTAGAATAATTTCACCCGATCGGTGTTGATCCATCATCATTGCTTTCTTTCTCTTCCCTTTGCTTGGGAATAGTACGTACGAACGTATTGTCGCGAAAAGAAAGCGTGTACCATTCGTCCTTCTCTCCTTTTTTTTCCAATTTTTTTTCTTTTTAATAACTCTCTCTCTCTCTCTCTCTCTCTCTTGCTCTCTTTCGTTTTCTTTTGAAACGCCACGTCGCGCGAAGCAACGAGACACGACGATCCTCATCATCGCGATTATGTAACGCAAATCTACCTGCAAGATTAGCGTGCTACATCGAGTAACGATCGATATACACGCAACTAACTACGAGATCGTGTGGCATGCCTCCTCAAGAACGATGACAATTTCGCGGCTTCGATGGACGAGCGCGTTTTTCTAGTGTCCACCGGAGATCTCCTTCATGCGATTCAGAGCCGAGCCCGCCTTGAACCAGGATATTTGCTGATCGTTCAACGTGTGGTTCAGGCTGATGGCATCCACTTTACCGTCCTTGTGCTTGATCTCTGCTTTCACCGGCTGCAAGTTGAAGACTGTTAGAGATTATCGTTCGAGTTGCACAATTGAAAGTCCCCCCTCCCCTTTGGCTGGCTAACTAAATGTTTACTATTTTAGAAATTAAAGGAGTTACTTCACGTACACAAATATACTCCAATAAAAATAGTTGTGAATATTTCTAGTTCTATATATCTTTGATCGATTTTGTACCTAGTTGATACGAAATATATATCGTGGTGTATATTTAATAGCAATCAATCAAGAGCCAAAATACTCTTGATCTTTAATGAACGTTTGATTAATTTGTTCAGAGGGACAATTTTTAGACCTTCGTTGAAATCATTGACGAGGACGTTACCTTGCCAGGCGCCAGAGTGTTCAATTCCAGGAGGCTGATCTTGTCGGTAGGTTGGATCTTGTCGTAGTCGCTAGGATTGGCGAAAGTCAGAGGCAAGAGTCCTTGTTTCTTCAGGTTGGTCTCGTGGATACGGGCGAAACTCTTGACGATGATGGCACGGCCGCCGAGATGTCTCGGCTCGAGGGCTGCGTGCTCCCGGGACGAGCCCTCTCCGTAGTTTTCGTCGCCAACGGCTACCCATTTCACGCCGTTCTTCTTGTAATGTCTGGCCACGTCCGGCACTTTGCCCCACTCGCCGGTCAGTTGATTCTTCACGTTGTTCATCTCGCTGTTTTCGGAGTTCACAGCTCTGAAAAAATTTATCGGCCGGATACATAGAGAATTCTATTTGCGCAGATATTGCGTCGAGTTATGTTACTGCCACCTTCACGATATGTATCCAAGACACTCTGAGAACGTTATCATTTACCCGATGAACATGTTGTTGGAGATGTTGTCCAAATGGCCGCGATATTTGAGCCACGGTCCAGCGGCCGAGATGTGATCGGTGGTACATTTCCCTTTAACCTTGATCAAGATGGTCAAGTCGGTGAGGTCGTTGCCGTTCCATTTGTCGAATGGTTCCAGTAGTTGCAGTCTCTCGCTCTTCGGACTTACGTCGACCTTGACGCCGCTACCGTCAGACGGTGGAGCGTCGTACGTGTCCTGGCCAGGATCGAAGCCGCGGTTGGGAAGCTCGTCGCCTAGGGAAATGCAATTTTCACACCATCAAACCTTCGCGTTTACTACAAAGTTCAGCAACGAAGTTCTCTATCAGTCAGCGAAATATCTCACAAATTCGTCTCATCGACTTTTTCGATTCGATTTTGGAAAGAAAGCACACACAGGCCTAATTGAATAATTGACTGTCAGTTTCGAAAGCGACAGCCTGCCAGCGAGCGTCTCTAATTCGATCGTGTTATTTTTAACCTCGTAATTATCCAGCGCTGGACACACACGATAAATCATAACGAATCTCGTTACGAAACGAGAGATGCCACACAGTGAATCGTGACTCACTGGCTGGGATTCTGTTTATCTTTTCGATCGCTCAACGCGTAATTATACGATATTCGCATGAACGAATGATAATTCGACGAGCAGAGGAGAATCCCATTTACCGTACGGATCTTTCAGCAGAAATTCCTTTCCATTCTTGCCCTTGAGCTTGTCGGTAACAGGATTGAAGTCCAGTCGACCGGCGATCGAGAGGGCAGTGACGAGTTCGGGGCTGGTGACGAAAGCGTGTGTCGCGGGGTTGGCGTCGTTTCTGCCCGTGAAGTTACGGTTGTACGAGGTGACGATCGTGTTCTTGTCTCCTTTCTTGATGTCTTGACGATCCCATTGACCAATGCAAGGTCCGCAAGCATTGGCCAGCACGGTGCCACCGAAGTTTCGAAGAATCTCCGCCTAAATTTAGAGAGAATCTTAGGTCACTTGAAAACTCGCTTTTACGGGGATTTGAAAACTTAGTATATTAATAATATAAATGTTAGAACGATTTCTACGTGTTTGTGAGAGTTTGGAAACTTTCCTCTTATCTCACTGCATATCTTCTGATATTTTTCAAACGATTACGTTAATTAATATTCAAGAATTATAATATAAAATAACACTAACGAACCGCCTTTTATGGGGGTTTGTAATACAGTATTAACACTATAGGTACTAGAATAAATTTCTACATATCTGTGAGATTTTCGAAACTTTCCTCTTATCTTATCAGTGCATATTCTGATATTTTAGAGTATTAACGGTATATATGGTTGTACAATGATTTCTACGTTTGTGAGACTTTCGAAATATTCCTCTTATCTCAGTGCATATTTTCTGATATTTTTCAAAGAATTACAATTAATATTTCAACGAACCATCTTTTGATGCTTTTACGAGGAGATTTGAAAGCTTACAGTATTTATATAGATTTCTATGTGTTTTCGAAACTTTCCTCTTATCTCAATGCATAGTTTCTGATATTTTTCAAACGATTACAATTAATATTCAAGGATTATAATATAAAAGGACTACAATAGATATTTTCGACTTCTCTGCTACAATGTTCCAACTGAACCACCTTTTATGAGGATTTGTAATACTTACAGTATTAACAATATGTAAGTATTAGAATAAATTTCTACTTGTGATTTTCGAAACTCTCCTCTTATCTCAGTGAATATTCTGATATTTTAGAGTATAAATGGTTGTAGAATGATTTCTACGTTTGTGAGACCTTCGAAACATTTCTCTTATCTCAGTGCATAGTTTCTGATATTTTTCAAACGATTACAATTAATGTTGAAAGACATCGCGGTATTTAACGCCAGCTCTCTCAGCGTTCTAAATCGATTTCATTGTCATCCGCTGATCTCCGTCACGTGGATCGACGAGTCTCTATTTTTTCCTTGACATTGTCAAACTGCATCCAGGTCGAATTAAGAATTTGGCGCGGGTCGCTTAACTCGTCGCTTGTGCTTACGCGACGTGCTTACCAACGCTGTTTGGCACGGTCCCAAGACGAGCTCTGAGAAATCTTCGGCCTCTTGCACTCTATCGGAAGTCGTTAGTTACATAGAAAATTACAAGAAACTTACAATCCCGTCGCGTTCGATGGTGGCACGGATCTGCTCGGATCCTGGCGTGACGTTGAACGCGGATTTCGCCTTCAGTCCTTGGTCGAGAGCCTGTTTCGCGATGTTCGCACATCGGCCCATGTCTTCGTAAGAGCTGTTCGTGCAAGAACCGATCAGACCGACCTTGATCTCGTTCGGCCAGCCGTTCTTCTTGGCGTTTTCGCCTACACACAGAGATTATCGGATATCGAAATTCCCGATTCGAGTAATAAACTTTTCTACCGAGATATCGAGATATCTGCTCGAGCAGACTCCTACTTCGCTCACTTACCCAATTTGGAGATAGGAGAAGCGAGATCGGGCGTGAACGGCCCGTTGACGTGCGGTTCCAAGGTGGATAGGTCCAGTTCGATGATCTGGTCGTATTTAGCGTTAGCGTCGGCAGTCAACAGGCTTTTCCTGTGCTGATCCGCGGCATTGGCGATCTCGCTTCTTCCAGTGGCTCTCAGGTAATCCTGCATACGGTAATTGTAGGGGAATAACGAGGTAGTGGCGCCGATCTCCGCGCCCATGTTGCAAATAGTGGCCATTCCGGTGCAGCTGATGCTGTCGACGCCGGGGCCGAAATACTCGACGATCGCTCCGGTTCCTCCCTTCACCGTCAGGATACCAGCCACTTTCAGGATCACGTCCTTGGGGCTGGTCCAGCCTTTCAACGTTCCAGTCAGCTTCACGCCGATCACTTTCGGACACTTCAACTCCCACGGTATGTTGGCCATCACGTCGACGGCGTCGGCACCACCCACGCCGATGCAGAGACAGCCCAAACCACCGCCGTTGGGCGTGTGAGAGTCAGTGCCGATCATCAACAGCCCTGGGAAAGCGTAGTTCTCGAGGATGATCTGATGGATGATGCCGGAGCCTGGGTTCCAGAAACCGACGCCGTACTTGGCGCCGGCTGTCTTCAGGAAGTTGTACACCTCCTTGTTGATGTCTTTCGCGCGCTTCAAGTCTTTGTCGCCGCCCAACTGCGCCTCGATCAAGTGGTCACAGTGAATCGTGGAAGGCACGGCGACTTTTGGCAGTCCTACCAAGGGAAAATGGCACGCTTTAAAGTGAAAGCTTCAGGCAAACGCCAAAGACTGAGATTGAGAAGATCGCGAAGACTGCAAGAGACTGAATCGTAGAGCAAATACCAGAGCTGATAAACTGCAACATGGCCATCTGAGCAGTCGCGTCCTGCATAGCCACACGATCTGGTCGCAACCTGAGGTAGCTGGTTCCACGGACAATTTCTTGCTTTTCCGGTTCATCGAGATGGGAGTACAAAACTTTCTCGGAGAGTGTCAATGGCCGGTTCAATCTGCAACCGATTTTACATGTAGGTTACTGTGCTCGATCAAGTAGACATTTCTACGATACTTGCCTTTTTTTCACCGTTCTAAGCTTCTCTTCCAACTTGTCGTACGGGAGGTAATTGTTCTTGTCGAATTTCGACATTGCCACCTTCGTGGCGGCGAAACTCAACGCGCTCACGCTGAAACATCTTTGCTGGATGTCCGCCGCGAAAACAGCGAGTTTCTGCAAATAAAATTTACTAATTAATCATCGTGTCGACTTGGAATGTATTGCTTAAAGAACAAGAAGAAGAAGAAGAAGAATGTGAATTACACCCAAAAAAAGGAAATCTATCTCGTATTAAATCAATTCAGGTGCAAATTTCACGAATCACTCATGATGCTAAACTCCCAATTTAGCAGTGTACACAATCGTAGAAATTCCGAGCTAATATCATCAAGGTTCCTTGATAACGGTAGCGCTTCGTTACAGATAACACGAGCATCACCGTGACAATAAGTGCGATTTTATTTTTAGCCAATAATTCGACAAACAAAGCAATCAAACATGATATACTCTGAAAAACGTGAAAGATGTTTTACGACAGTAGGACAGTTGAACTATATCTTCGTTTTGCTATGTCCTTAAGTTGTCTACGCGCAAGTGTAGACGTGTGTACACGTGATGAAACGTATTATACGAACAGATTCATCTATATACAACTGGTACGGTTACGTAATTCTTTTATTCGCAGAGACGAAAAACTTGTTCAGCGAGGTGTTTTGGTGGAAAAAAAGAAAGACACCGTTCTTTGGAAGATGCATAAAAAAACGTTCAACATATTTATCCTTGGCTCGACGGCAGACGCTCGTTATCAATTAGCATACACGTTCTTATCGTGCAACGATACACGGTAGTTTTCAAACAAATAGCAGAGGATCAAATTACCGACGGACGTACATATTCATCCGTTCACCTCTGACCCCTGCGCACCCCTGCGCACAATGGCCGCGGACCTAACCTCGAAATCCCTGAAAAATGCACCCATGTTATGTATACGTAGTAATTTCGAAACGCCTTATGTAACTTGGTGTTTCTATCCTCCTGATTGCTTTGTTTCTCTAATAACTCTGTGTTACGCTACGTTATTATCGTGAGATATCTTCCGATAACTAGGGCGTTCAAGTACTGCTCCAAATAAATATATATGCTCCGAAATGCTGCCGATCGATCGATCGTGTGCACGGTTTATCAATGAAACTATTGCTGCAAAACATCGTCGAATGTCACAACGTAACAATGTAACACGATCATTTTCAGTTAAGACGAAAAGCAAGAGAGAGGAGGTAATTAATTATTCATTAGTGGAGGGATACGTCTCACAGAGAGGCAGTTGAAGGACAAGTATCAGCATTTTGGTCAACATTCGAATCGATGATCGACAATCTGCCACTTGAACGTGACACGATCGACCTTGATAACGGGGTCGGGCGGTCAAAACCGAGAGGCGCAGACTTCGATTCCCACGTCACTCGATTCGGCGATGTTTTGGTTTGCGCGAGTTGCTCGAAGAGAATCCAATTGAATGCGTACCTGATCCCGAAGGATTCGGGTGCAGTAGGACATTCTCGTGAATCGGAGGAAGTTCGCCCCAGTGGAACCACGTCGGGACTCGTGAAACGGATTCACTCGCAGCTGAAGGGGAAGAAGCGCAGGCGCGAGATTGAAAAAAAAAGTAAACCGCGTCTTCTCTAGTGGCAGTCCTTCTCAAACCGGCCACGAGAGAACTGAGTGAAATTCAGGCTGGCCTCCTCGTGTCAATGCAAAACGGCCACGCATGCGCCCCTTTCTTCCTGAAAGGCCAGACAATTTGAATGCGAATTTCGTGGCGGAACGAAAGGCTGGCGCCCTCGCCCGTTTCGACGGCGTCCCGTGGAAACTTTGACGACAAGCCTGCGGCCCAGCCAATGGGATTTTCGGCGCAGAAGCTCGAAACAGCTGCTCGTTCAGTTTCACACGTGTGGCGCGGCTGTCGCCGTACGACGTACAGTTCGACCAATCAACTCCGGAAATTGCGCGGCAGAAAGAAATCGGTGGACCTCGATTGGAACAACAGAGCGAGAATAATTTTTTCGAAAGAGCTACTTTACGTCTACGAAATGAGGAGAAATTTTCTCGTGCACTTATGGTGCACGTTTTACACGACAGAGCGAGAACAATTTTTTCGAAAGAGCTACTTTACATCTACGGAATGAGGAGAAATCTTCTCGTGCATTTATGATCCGTTTTACACAATTGTGCAAAAGATGTTCGTTAGGCTGACGACTCTGTTGCCGTAACTATACCGCCGCATTGTACGTACAAGCGGTTTCTAAGAAGTAGCGCTAACGTTGCTGAATGGAACTGCGAGGACTGGTTTGTCAGTGATAATTCAGGAAGTATCCTGAAGGTGGCCTTAGACTCGCTATTGATCGACAAACAGCGAGCGTACGCTGCTCGCATCTGCTGCGAACGAAATGCGTGGGAAGTTTGAATCTTGAATTAGTTTCGTTCCCGGATCACAATGTATTTATTAGCAGCGTTTTTTAATTTTTTTCTAATTTTTACGTTGCATCTGCATGTATTTCGAGCAGTAAATTGTATAAAGAAACGAAATAGAGATTCAGAGTGTCTCGAGATGAATGTACTTTTATGTCTCTGAAATTCATACTGGATAAATGAAAAACATCTGAAGGAACTCGATTCTAATTTTAATTTCACGAAATTTTACTGCCTGAATCAATTAATTTATCTCTGCTGATGACGTCGTATCGAGTTATCAACGGTGATTGCAACATATCTATCAGTGAAATGCACTTCTAACGGAGTATTGAACTATCTTGCTTTCTCTAACGTGAACATTACGTATCAAACGATTTTAAAAATAGCAGCGTTGCTCTTCAGCAGTTTCATCGTCGTCTTTCATGTTCTAGACTTTTATCTATCGATAACAACACTCGAGATAGTAATTCCAGGAATATTTTAATTATTTCTAAACGTCTGACGACGAAGCTTGTTAGAAATCGAAGAAAGTAACGCAATTCTACAAGACGGCAGACAAGGATAATTTCTAAACTTACAGACTTAGCAATAGTATTTCACGTGATATTTTTCCTGGCTCGAAACGCGGATATCGAGCACACTTTGTCCAATTTAATCGATCACAGTGATGACAATAGAAATTTGAAGAAATTAAGGCACTTTTGCCTTCACGATCCGCTCGAGGATCACGAAACGAGCGTTAAACCGAACGATAAAATCAACCAAACCATGTGATGTGACATGGTTAAAATACCGACGATGATCTTTCGCTCGGCTTTGCAAGTCGTCAGGCTGGAATTTGCAGGTGTTCATCAAAACTCGATCGATATCTCGAACTTTATCTGAACAACGATAATGCGATTACACGGCGTTCGTGGAGGCTTTATTCGCCTACGTATAGCGGATTGAGAAAAATCTCTGTCGGTGGTCGATGGTATCGGTGAACCTCGACTCGAAGCCAAGTTGAAGCGAGAAACTTTGCTTGCAATACCGACTGTTGTTTGGAAAATGGATTATCTTCGTTAAATACGGATATCTTTGGATTATGTTCGTTAGAAGACCAGTAATTAAAAGTTAGAACTAGAACGCTAGCAGCTAATTGCCTCGAATGGAATTGAATTCCTCTTCCGAGACGAACGAACAAATGATTCATCGAGGCTGCCTGATTGTGAGAAAAATCGAAACACCCAATCGGGCAGTAGAGATTGAAAATCGAAAGACATTGCTGATCTAGCAAAAGTGTTACAAAGATTCGTGTCATCAATTATTTCTGCCATATTACGACGTTGCAAACGTCCGATGACGTTTCATTGTTACCATTTCATTGTTCGGCGAGCTTGGATCGCGGAGAATGATCTAAATATCCTAGGAATAGCACGATTGTCTCTTTATTAGAGGAGAGATGGGTAATAGCTTTCTGAGAACGCGTGACGAGCGATGGAAAAATCAATAATCGTCGACGTTTGCTTGAAGAAAATAAAATTTACTTCCTTTGGAGTGCAGAAAAAAAAAAAAGAAGAAGAAGAAAAACAACTAATAACCGCGATTTGGAGAAGACCGAAAATTTGTTACATGGAGTTTCGAAACGCGATTGCAAACACGCGTTGGCACGCGTCCAAATTCCTTTGAACTGATTATCATCGAAACCGGATAATCGAGACGGAGAATAAAATTGATTTACTGACGCGCTCACGCAGGGTTAAGAGGGTATTATAACAAGATTATGCGAGGCAGAGAGAAGGCTGAATGGGTCCTTGACATGATTAACTCTTGTTGTAGGTGGACCATGTTTCGACACGCTCGCGTTGATCCTGCTTGCTTGTTGTCCCAACCACCGGTCCTTTCGTTTTCATTTCGTGGCAAACAAATTAGCTGGTTCACGATGTAGCACACTTTCGATGTTGATCTCTTTACACGACACGCGTTGTTTTCGAGTAAAGAAACTCTTTTCTCGAATTGAAACTTGCTCTCTTTGCAAGGCTTGGGACACTTTCTTTCTTTGTTGTTTCCTTTTCCTTGTTGGATCCACGAATAAACAAGAGGATTTTACATTGTGCGATCCGCGAAATGGCAGCTTTGTCGTCCAACGAGTAGGAAGGATTCTTAACGAGCGAAGGACAGACACTCGATGGCCAGTTAGATAGAAAGTTACGAAACAGTTGGCCTCAAGGGTGGGAATAAACCTCGTTTGTTCTGCAGAAGGCACTCGACGCGTCTAATGTCGAAATATAACGGCACACGAGTGACACACACGCTTCCGGAAACGTTATACGCTTCATTGTCGCTGCAGAAAGTATGTGCAACTACATGTAATTTAATAATCTTTTGTCATTGTTACTCCTCTAATCATTTCCGTGGAAATTACACCTCTTGCGGAAGAATCATTATCTCAACTATTTATCTGCTATTCACCCTCCATCACCCGCACCGTGGTGTTATTCATTTCCCGAGGTTTATGATTCCT